CCGAAATCCCAAGATCAGAACTGCATTCGGAAAGCTATGTGAGGCGAAAGCCTGAGAGGATACAATCAATAAGCGAGTGGAGTCATGTCCAGGTGCAAGTATAATATCAAGGTTGGCTCCAGAGCGGATGCTTTGCTGATGTCATTTCGTACTGCTTGTAAAAAACGCAAACTAAACTACAGCTGTACAAATTAAAAAGAAACAATTTATTTAATGCAGGCCTTTGTGACTAAATGAATTTAACAGGTACATAAGAAGCTGCGATGGCTCGCAATGAAACGAATCACATTGTCAAGGCCAAACAGGTAGTTGCCATCGGTTGTGCCATGAGCTGGGAAGATATGCGAGAAGTCAATTAGCTTTACAACAGCATTTGGCGGCCGTTGCGCGCATCCTTCGTAAGCAAGAAGAATTGACGACGCGTAGAAGTGGAAGCACTGAAATTACTGTCCATTCAGCTTCATTCCAAACAATACATGTCGTCATAGTGGTCTAGTTTCAGAAATATTTTTTGCTTTGCTTAAAAATTTAAAGCCAAAGTCAGTAAAAACGGTCTCTGTTAACTTCCCAAGTGATAACAACTACAAATGGCAACCATCTGCTACGGAGGTTTTGACAGCCGCTTTTTTCGCGCTTCGTTTACATGCAAGCTGATGGCGGTTAAGACATGCGCTCGCATCAATTTGCCAATGAAATGGATGAATGAATTGCCAGTGATGGAGTGGAGATCCCGACCTTCAGCACGTTACTTGTCACCACGCCCATCCCACCCCGCCTGCTTTGAATATTTCCTAAAAATATTGAAGTTTAGGTGCTCACATCACGTACTGCAAGTTCTTAAATAGAACATTTCCCACTCGTTTAGGTGAAAATTGGGCCAGAACAGGAGATAATGGAGCAAGCACACTTTGCCAAATTATGCACCATTTATGCTTGGAACGGTCTCGGTAAACTGACGTACCCCTTCTCCGCATTCTTTGCCTTGGTGAAGGGGACAGCTGGATGAGTTCCGAAGGCATGTTCAGTGCCTCCTCTTATTTCCAAGTAGTAATGAAGTCAGTTCCCGGGCTTAACCAGCTTCGTTTCCCATTTCACCGACTTCTCAGGTAGTCCAGTACTGCTAACTGGAGGTGGCACCCTCCCGGCAGTTTCGGGTCATCTTTCGGTAATGCTTTTTGTTCAGATCAGTTCGTGCAAGGTTGATTCAGTGGGACGTAGGCGACATCAACATCGACTGCTTCGTGGCCATTCAGATTTCATCGCACTTTGACAGTTTCTTGAACTCCTTGATAGAAGAAGATGCCGAATTGGGCAGTGAACTTACTCGTTGTGTGCTGAACCATTGCCGTACGTCATTCAGCTGGTGCAGCATCTGCTCGGCTAGTTTAGCCTGTTGATTTGTCCGACCCGTCAGGAACTCGCTGAATGCTGCAAAATTACCGTAGGAGTGGTAGTATGCAGAATAATATGTGCTGGCAGTTATCGGTTTTCCAAAAACTCGAGCTGCAGGATCATAAGCAAAAAAATTGGCCAACGCACGGGCTCCCCGCAGTTTTTGTTGCTGCCGGCACCGGCTTTTTCAGCAAATGCTTCTAGCTAAACAAATTAAGACTGGCCGCCAGAACTGTCAAAAAGCACCCCCCTGAAATTTCAGCTTTCCAGCTTCCCTTGCTCCTGAC